TAAAAATTTGACTCTTGAAAAATACAAAAATATAAGCATCAAAATATACTTAAAGTCCTCTAATAATAATAATAAGCAGAATGGCTTCAGAATGATATATATTACTGGATTATAATGGATGCAATGGATTATTGCACATACTAATTTAACGTTACAGCTGGTAAGAGTGGAGATAAATTTGAATTACTTTATATACTACGTGGTAATTTAATTCATAACAATACATAAAAATGTATTTGTTGATTATATTTTGTATTAATGATTTGAATTTGCAATGTAGTCTAACTAAAGCTTTAAAATAAATGCAGTGGAATAAAACACAATTCAATCATCAGATTTAAAGTTATTTATTAGTACTGTTACTGCTATACTCATATTCAAAAAATCACTGACTTAAGTTGTAGTACGTTTGATGCTGCTTCGACCCACAATCCCCTCTGCTGTCTTCTGGGAAGCCCCACTGGAGCAGTTTGGGAGCCAAGCATCACGCTCAAGGACACTTCAACAATTTGTGCTTATGTGCCAACATGTCTGAGCTTCAGGCTACGAGCACAGTATGCTCTCCTAAGGATGTGCAATTATAGTCTACATCAACATAGTCGGCAATGCAGCCATACACTCACGCATGAAAACGCAACTGACAACCATACATACATCACAATGAATGGACATGAATATTGATTGCAATGCACTCTACAATTAACTATCTGCCAATGAATATGTATGTACATGTGTGCACATCAGATTATGATCTACTTCTTTGACCTGTCAGGCAATTTCATTTTGCAATAGCTAAGGGAATTCTTAGTATTTTTATTTTTCTTTATCTCTAAGGAGGCATCTGTAGATTCAGCATCTTTATGTCTCTAATCCATGTTGTTATTTGACTTATAAAATACTGACGCAATGTCCGAGGTCGATGCTATGTGTGGGAGTTAGCTAACTGTCCCCAAAGGATTATGAAACAGATTTATGACATGCTGGACTGGACTATTGCTGTGAAAGCGAGGGTCACACGGGTGCAATTTTGTGAGGCAGCAAATGATTAGTGCAGTCTCCTTTTGACAGAGGTTCTACATAGCGTCTATAGTATGCTACTATGATTTTATGAATCTTTTTTGAACAACTTCAGAAACGGACATAGACTTGAATTCTTCACCTGTAAAACATTTGAGCTGTTTTGTTCTGCTGCTGGTATGAATTGCTCTTCCATATCTTCAGTACAAGCAATTTGTCTTGTCCTGGATTTCTAAAAAGCTTTATTCACTGTAACAAATACATGAGAAAAGATTCTAATTTTAAAATTTGTTCCCAACAGTATCACTCCACGAGGCATTAAACCATGCAGTACAGTTCACTGTGCAGTGTTCAACACTTCCTTGAAGAAGTGTCCTCTGTGTGACTTCTTACTGGGGAGGAAATGAAACTTAAAAAATAACAAACCAAATAAATTTGTGCAGGACTATTTATAGCGTGAAGATACTTGTGAAATGTGAGTAAAATAAATCAGCTTTGTCTTTTGGAGGACATCGGGACATCGCAGGTCTACAGTGTCTGCTGTGTTAGAGAAGTGCAACTCTCCATATTTAGAGTGGAAAGCAACGCTGTTCAGTGGTGTTACAGGGGCTAAAAATTGCAGTGTCATGGATCACAAGGATCCTGTTTGAATGTGCTGTGAAAACCAGGGGAAATTATAACTTTTTACAGTTATCTTATTTTTCAGTGTATTACTGTGCATTGATCTATGGAAAAGACAGTTTAGTATAAAAGTATAAATATGCGGAATTACTGTGTAGTAATTTCTCTCCCAAGCTCAGTATGCAGGTGAACCGACCAAAGTAAGGTCAGTGTGAAGTGTTACCATAATATTCAAATGGCGATGAGATACATAGACAATGTCTGAAGTGTAGCTGTCAATAGGAAAAGTCAAAAAGTCAGTCAGGTGGTGAGATCTCGGCGACAAGTTATTCTGCAGTGACAGATGACATTTCTGTGAGGTTGCATCTGGAGGACTCTGGCACTGAGGCAAAGCTGGCCTTTCACTCTGTCTGCCTAGCAAGCATTCATCAGCAAACCTCACACACACACACACACACACACACACACACACACACACACACACACCACCCACACAGGCATAAAACATGTAAATGGCAGCTGGATCCATGAGTGTATTGTCCCCTCGCTTTGTTGTATTGTTTTGGTGGTTTTTCAATGCTGTAAGCCGGTTCAGCAGGCGATACTGCTTTTTTCTTTCTTTGTCTTTTTTCCTTCCTTTTATTTCCTTCTATCAGTTCTTCTTCTCTCCTCTCCTTCCTTTGTCACCTCATTGCACAGGCTGAACATGTGACAGCTCACTGTCAGGGTGTCCACTCTATTCCAATGAAGGCTGGCCTCGACTGCATGTATCACTGCCTTCCTTTTGGGTTCAGAAGTACAGCAGCAGGCACGCATGGAGCACAGGGTGGCAAAGGGAGTCTCCCCCAGTGATTCATTTGAACTTTTCCTCTCTTTGAAATGGCATCACAGAGGCCCTGCATGATTAATGTCACCACACTTATATACACTGTTCTACCCAGAGTGCCAGCTGAATATTTGAAAACCAGAAACTTTTCAGAATGCCCGTGGGCAGGTCTGGGGATGTTGTGGTTTGATTGGCAATCAGCTTGCTATTCAACCTTTCCAATTTTCCATGTAATGTCATACACTCAGGTGAACAAACCCAGCAACTAACTGAGTGGTGCTGTGTCCAAACAGGCTAATCAATGGATATCAATACAGTGTTGATCATATGTGAATGTGAAATAAAGCCAAAAGTTCACACTAGAAGAAAATTACCTGGTACTCTTTATATGACCTTGAGCAGTCCACTGTGTAAAATAGTAAAACAGTGTAATTTAAAGCAAGACACAGCTGAGTCAAGGATCTAATTTCTTAAATGTTCTTCATTGAATTCATTATTCCATAATCATTTTAAAGTTTGCTTGTATTAGTCGGCAAGATTCAAAATGATATGTACTCGTGTGCCTTTCCTGAATCAAATTACAGGGCTCCAATCAGTGGTGCCACAAAGAGAGAATGTGTAACATTTAAGATGATCTATTGGCAGAAATGGAATATAATGTTTTCATTAGTGTATAATTACATGAATATGGAATTGTTATGTTTTTGTTGCCTTAGAATCACCTTCCATAGAGTCTGCCCTGTTGTACTGCCATTTTTCGACAGGATCCCAGAACAGACAAAGCAAACACTGGGTGTAGATAGGGACATTTTGCGAGTTTTGCGGCCACCTTAATTCTACCTACACACTTCACAGCCTTTCCCAAGTCATCAAATACAGATGCAAGTGGTGTTCAGTTAGTTTCAATCTGGAGCTCCACCAATAGATGCCATTAAATCCTACATACGTCCTGTAAATGATTATTTTGTTGTTTTATTGAAGATAAACAGCACTTTCATTCAGTTATTCTGAAGCCAGATGAAGCTCTTTGGAATGAAGCTGCAGCAACACACAATTAACGAATTTTCTTATTTTATTCATTGATTTGAAGCAGGTCTATTCTGTTCTTCCGTAGATTTTTTTTTTTTACATAATATAGCTGAGATTGGATCAGAAAACATAAGTGAACTGAAATTAATTAGGTTCTACTTACAAAACTCTCAAAATGAAATTTAAAATCAAAATCTATAATAGAGAGAATTATGCAACAGCGCGGAATTGACTTTTCATTTCTTTTCCTAGTGTAAAATAAAAAAGTAATTTCTTGATTGTGTGGAAAATATCTGGATACAAACATCAGTGATGGGTAATAAGCAAACAAATGCAAAAAAAAATTCAATACTGTGAGGACCAGTTACATTTTAGTGTGTCATAAGATGTATGGACTGCTACTACACAAAGTGCTAGATACATCTGTAGAAAAGCTTTTGGGCCTGGAGGTAAACAAACTGACTAGAAACTGATAATGTCACTTTGATCCCTAAAATCAACAGCAGTGCGAACTGCAGCAATGCAATATGATATCTATATTATGCCCATGCACAGTGATTGTGTCCAAGTACTCTTCATCGAGACACTAAACCCTGAATTAAAGCCTCCACCCTGCTGCACTGCCATCGCCTCAAAGAAATACAAGTTTGTAGGGCGCTTTGGTTATTTTTAGGGAGGATATGTGGAATGACAAACAGCTGTTTATTATGTAGCACTGAACCTTCAAAAAGTAGCATGTACTCATTGCATTTATTCAATTATCCAGTGTTTTCTCTTATTTTGTGACTGACCAACCAATGCAGCCCGACAGCCGACTGTCCCATATTATCCTCCAGTGGAGTGTCTTCTTGTTGACGCCACGCTGAGACTCTGATGCTTCACTTTGCACCTTTTACCTCTGAAACTAAACAACAAGCTCCATCCAGTGAGCAATAGAAACTTTTCCTAATTATTGCCGCAATTATAATCATGCTTGTATTGCAGCAATGCCTCTCTGGGCTCTGTGGTCCCACTGCTAGCTGGATGGGCACACAGAGAGAAAATGCTAATCAACATCCCGGCTTCATCAACTTATTGGTGACTGGGGTACAGCAAAAGAGCCTCTTCACTCATTTCAAGGGTGGATGTAATCAGAAGCAGCATCTATCCATATTTCCTTCCCAGGGGAAAGGGGAAGGTACGAAGCTCTGCAAACATACTTGCAGTAGCTTCCCAGCATGGGAATACCATTTGGATTATAATTGGATTTAGGGAAGTGAAGCCCTATGTGTTTGACTAACTTCATCAAATCCTATGCTTGTGTGATTGTCAATCATTGTTATTTCTATGGTATTTTCTCTATCTTTGCATCTCTAGCTTTTTCTCTCTGTGTGAATCCACTTGTTGACATCCAGGGAATCCAGTTTGCCAAGGATAACTCAAAATTCAGACACATCATACAGGAAACTGGGTAACATTCAGCACAACTATACACATACAGTAAACACAGTGAGGTGCTCTTTCCTACCTCTTCCCATTGGTGGATGTAGCGAATGAGTCTAGAGAGGCGCAGGAGTCGCAGCAAGCTGAGGATCTTTGTGAAGCGAACAATCCGCAAGGCGCGCGCTGTCTTGTAGAAATCTGAGTCGATGCGTGTTTCCACTATGAGGAAGATGTAGTCCACAGGGATGGAGGAGATGAAGTCCACCACAAACCAACTCCGCAAATACTTAATCTTGATCTGTTGTGGATCCAGGATGATTTCTGTGTTGTCCTCCTTGACGATGCCTGTCCTGAAGTTTAGGACCAGGTCCATGAGGAAGAAGGTGTCGGAGACTACGTTGAACACGATCCAAGGGGGTGTGTGCTCATCCTTGAAGAACGTGATGCCCACAGGGATGATGATGAGGTTGCCCACCATCAGCAGCAGCATGGTCAAGTCCCAGTAAAACCTTGTTGGAGAGAGAAATATAGAAAGGCAGAGACAGAATGGTGAGAGAGAGAACGTTAATATCAGAACATAGAAGAATATTCTGGCTGACTTTTAGCAGCATCCTGCTCGATTAGAGGGGAACATTATTCTTCTGTGTGGTTTAAAAACTCCATATGGACTGCATATACATCAGTTTGTATTGTACAGTGTATACTGTATAGCAAAACACATTACGAAGTATATAAATGATCAAACCACAGATTTACACACCAATGTGTTTTTCTGTATGAGAAACCAGTGATGTGACTCACTCTGTCTCATCACAGGCCTGATTTAACCTTAGGTACCTTTTTTGTTGTTGTGCGTATGTGGTGGAAGTGAGCTCATACACACTGCTAGTATAATAACCTATACATATGTAACCTCCCCATGATGCCAGAAGGCAGCTTGACATGAAAGCTATTTGTGTTTGGACTGTAAATCCCAACTCAAAGGTCAATGAGGGTTAACTGTTAATTACAAACTGTACTGTGACCTCGTCCATCTTCCAAGCCTGAGACTTTGGATATAAATGGCACTCTTTGCTGGCTTGGTAATTGAATCCAGATTGGCTCTTCTGTGTTAAGGGTGATACATCTTGGATACTCTATAGATTTCACCATGAGGGAGTTCTGCATTGTGCCCTGGCCCAGTGAGCTTGGATGATTTACCCACCAACTTTGAACTGCCTCCGTGCAAAGCCAATTTCAAGAACAGGACCATATAAGAAATAAGGAAGAAAGGATAGTACATACATTACCAGGGTAGGAGATGTATTTTTACTGTTAGACTGCAACAAGTAATTATTACTCTTTCATGTCCTTGTTGCAGCTGACAGCTATAGATTTCATGGTTGATTCACAGTGTGTTGAACTAAATAACTCATGGCTTTACAATAAACTGCTGCGCTACAGAATCACATAGCCTGATCCAAAAAGACCTCTGGTCCAAGTCAAGTTGAATAAAAATGTAGTTATCTTTTTTTTTTTGGCACATAGTCTTACAGAGCAAAAACATACAGACAAAAAATTACTTGGCACATAACAGGTGTCTTCCATTTTTTTCCTGACGTGATTTACTTGGGCGTCTTGCGCTTTTCCTTGCTTTCCTGTGTTTGCTTTGTTGGATAACGTAGAGTTTATCATTCCATTGATGATTAGTAAGATCTAAAATTGCCTTTTCTCTTCCTTTGAGACATGCTCGTAATGAAGCACTACAAAAGCTTGCACTTGAAGTAGTTTTCCCCTATACCTTGATATCCCCATTGATGTCACAGCAAACACTGTTGTTCCATATTGCTATACAAGACACTTCTTCTATCTTTTAAATGTTGCACCTGAAAAAGTTGCTGAATGCTGACTTGGTTACAGCTAATATTTTTAGGATTTTCTTTGTGAGCAATGTTCTTTTTCTTTCTGTGAGCATGACTAAACTCCATTTCTGATGCATTATGAAGGTAAAACAAGGGACATCACTGATGGCCAGCACTGCCTTCTCCTTATTACTGTTTGTCATGGTTGCATGTGGAGACAAGAGGCCTCTTACACATACATCTGTGGACAGACTTTACATCACTTTAAATTGTATTATAATAAATAATTCCTGTAAAATGCAGTAAAACTACATAACGGCTGCTACGTGGCACACGTGAGTTGGATTACAGTTTATGAGAGCATTTCACACTTACACATGCATACATAAATATATACAGCAGACACACATCTCAGTTTCATGTCTGTTGCACACACAGACACATATACCCACATGCACACGCTGAGGAAACAGTGACAGTAATTGGAATTCTTCAAAGTAAAAGGGTATCTACTGTTCCAGCTTGTTGTCAAGTGGAGTTATATTTAGACAGACCTTGCCACCACAGTGTTTGCTCATGTTAAGACTGAAAGCCCAAGAGGACAAGAAAAACTTCAAAAGAAGAAATGCAAACATAGGTAATGACATTTGTTCTTCATATTGCCATGTTCCCTAATACTAAAAATGCTAGATAGCCTGTGCATTTGTATAAGCTACACAGCTTACTAATAGGATGTAAGTGTGCTCCCAGCACTTGACAGGGTCTACCAGCAAAGAAATACGATTATCTGTTTCTTCCAGTTACTGTAACAACTGCAAAACTTTGCCTTTGTTTTACTCTTTGCATCAACACACATAATGCTTCTTATTACACTTAGGGACAATGTGTTTCTGGATTTCTGCAGCTTCTATACATACAAAATACTATCACAAATAGCAACTATTTTCCCGAAGCATATAATAGCATTAAAGGTCGTCAGGCGTTTTTTTCCATTCTTCCAGGCAGAGAAGATAATTATGTAATCCATGTTGAGGTTGAGGTTGAGGTCACTTTATGTGAAATATATATGACTTAACAGTAGAGTGACAGAGAATTATTGAAAAAGAGAAACATTTGTTTGCTACAGAGTGATATTCCACATGTACACATGTACAAACAAGTTGCAGTGACATAACAACAAGACCCTACAGCCAGGCAGTTCTGTAAGGCTGCTAGCGGTGCTTTGTGCTAAAGGCTCATTTCAGCAGCAAGAAGATAGATTTATCTTGTTCATCAACTTAGTTTAGCATGTTAGCTTGGTTACATTTGCGATAATTAGCACTAAACACAAAGTACAGCTGCTACCACCATTGTTATCCCTAGAGCCACACCGCCAGTCTGAGTTCAACAACTGGGTATCTTTCAGCACCAGAAAAAAAACAAGACAAGGAATAGAGGTGGGGGCTGTCAAAGATGTCTGGCTTGTAAAGAAAGAAAGAAAGAAAGAAAAATCAAACCTTACAGAAAAATATCAGCCAGCAGTTAGATGATGCTGTATGAATGACAGAGAGAGGAAACAGAGTGAAAGAAACAGAAAAGTAGTGCCAGAGCAGAGCTCCTCAACATCTTTGCAGAAAGAATAACAAGACAGAATGCTGTTTAAGACCACTGGATGTCACTCCGGCAGAACACAGCGACTGCTGCCACCTGTTTGAGTAAGCCTCACTTGTCATAGGAGTGTGGGGATTGGTAATATAAACAGCAGCTGCTGTGTGCTCATCGTGAAAATGCATTTTTCTAGATATGAACATGTTCCAACACAAAACAAGAAAAACAATTCACATCTTGGAACATTTTTATGGCACTACTGGATTTCCTTTTTCAAATTAATCTACTAGGGGTGAAATCCATAGTAAGATGGACACTATTGACCAACTACAATATTTTGGGATAAGAAAATACCTCTGTATGCGTTTTTTTAAAAGAGCTGTGTAGGAATTCCTGTGTAGCTCTGCGAAGACATGTTTGTGTCTGTGTGTGCATGTGCAGAGTAAATTCCCACAATTTCACTCCCGTGGTTGCCTCCTAATGGAGGTCAGGCCACCTAAACATAGCAGGGATCCATTTACTGTGTTTTATTATGCACTGGGACCCTGACATAGAAGAACATTGTTCTATAAATACAGTTGGGCGAGTGCAGAATGTTGGGCGGACATTTCAAAGGCATTAAACAATCCCATATCTCTGTGTGCATCCCAAATGCTTACATTGTGTGATGGTATTCCACCAGTCTTAAAATATTTCCAAGCAAAAGGCAGTGATCTAGCAGTGGTGATACGAGGGTGATAGTCCCAGAGGCTCGGGGAGAGAGAAATACCTAATTTGAAACAAATATAAGGTTTTATCCTTTTGATTTCTACTCTGTTTTATGAGATAGTTGTTACCGGATATTGTTATTATTAGTGATGCCTGGGCTAGCCACAACTCCAGTACATAGAAATTGCCAAACTGGCAACATGTTAAATCCCACGTAAATGTATAGTGAAAAGTCCAGTTTATGTTTATCAAAGCTATGACAGTTTCTAATACTTCTTGTATGTATGCCAGATGATTAGAAAACAGATGGAAACTGCTGATGCTTTGACTTCTTATGAAATTTTTTCTACATGAATCAGTCTTTTGGGTTGTATTTGGTTGTAAACACAAAGCACAAAAAGCGCTTTGTAGGACACAAAATGCATCAAATAAAAAAAAATGATAATAAAAAGATCTAATCACAAACTCTAGAAAAAACATGGCCAGAGCTTGTGTTCATTATGTGATCACTGGGGAATATCAGAGCTGTCCGCATCACAAGGTAGTAAATGGCAGACCACATGAAAGTAGACCAAAAACAAAAAATGAACTGAGCTAAACTGAAAGTAAAGGCCAACATAGTGGTTGGTTTCCATGATGTGTTCAAAACAAACTTTTAAAAATGAGGCGAAGGAAAGCAGGGAAACACAGAAGAAAAGAAACCGCAGAATAGCTCACACCTAACTTGTATGGTGCTGAGAGTACAATGTACTGATGAAGAGAGCCCTGATATTTTGTTGTCTGTAGGGACAGAGCCACAGCCCACTCTGCTCTCCGGTGGGGTGACCAGGGACAGCAGAAACATGTTGTCACCTTAAGAGTGCATCTGACTACACGATAAGCCTCTCTCATTCTCCTCACCCTGCCAGCCAGGCTACCTGAAAGGGATTGTGAGAGCCACCACAAACAGCCCAAGATGGACACACACTTACCTTTCGGAGTAGCCTATATTTAAATCGAGGGGGCACAGAGAAAACAACAATGGAGTATATATAGTCCTGCATATACAGGAAGTATATGTTTGCATGCATGCATGTCCACACATGTTTACATTTCCATTATAGAAATGTCTATTTGTTGGCTCCCATGCTGGGAGAGTGATGGCTTAGCATGCAAGCAGATCATCTGTCATGTCATGTACAAGTGGCCAAGTGGCAGACGGCATTTAACAGTGCCTCACTTTATTCTGCACCACACTGACTGAATGGGAACAGCAGAAGAACAGTGGGTGCTCCCAGACTACACTTCCACAAGGGCACCAGCCAACTTCGTGTGCACTGTAAATGTGATTTGGGCTGATTAAATGATTAAAATGTATCTGTTTCTGCATGAAA